AGGAGGTACTGACGGACATCTTTGCCAAGGTACTGGAGAGGGGCTGGGTGGACAGCCGCTCCATCCACGTCCTTGACACCCTGCTGCACATGGGCGGCGTCTACTGGTTCTGCAACAACCTGATTAAGGTACCCGGGCTGGGTGGGTGTGGACAGCCATGTATGTAGACCGGGGCAGTAGCTGTCCCAGCAGGGGTAGGCCAGCCTTCCTGGAGAGGCTGTGGAAGTTGAGTGGTCTACTGGGAGACAGAGCTAGGGGCCTCACCTCAGAGAAGCGCCCTGGAGTCGGGGTTGAATAGCACCTTCGGCTGTAGGGACGGCTAGCGTGTCAGAACCCTAGGGTCCAGGCACGCAGCACCTCAGCGGCCGCTGGCCTCCCTTCTCAGGAGCTGCTGAAGGAGACTCGAAAGGAGCACACCCTGAGGGCGGTGCAGCTTCTCTACTCCATCTTCTGTCTGGACATGCAGCAGGTGACCCTAGTTCTGCTGGGCCACATCCTGCCTGGCCTGCTGACGGACTCCTCCAAGTGGCACAGTCTTATGGACCCTCCTGGCACAGCACTAGCCAAGTAGGACCCTCTCCAGAGCCTTCCTGGCGTCCTCCCTGATCCCTAAGCATCCAACACCCAGATTCAGTCACCCCAGCCCTGGTGCCTCCCCAAGAAGCTGGGCTGTGGTTGGTGGCCCTGCTGAGTGGTGGGGAGGGTGTAAGTGGGGGTTTAGAGGGGGCAGGTTCAGCATGAAAACACATAGCTTCCTCTGGGACCCTCTTAACTATGCCCTTTTCATGGAACCCCTCGCCAGACTAGCCGTGTGGTGTGCTCTGAGCTCCTACTCCTCCCACAAGGGACAGGCATCCTCCCGCCAGAAGAAGAGGCACAGAGAAGACATCGAGGTAGGCCTGTTGCTGACTGCTCGTGTATTTATTCAGCAAACATTTTCTGATCCCTTAAAGCCAAGAGGAGCCTTTCAGGCAGAGAGAAGGGCTGAGGTCAGCTGTCTTTGGCCCTGCTTGATTGGTCAGGGTCTGGAGGAATGGGTTGGGTAGACCCCTGAGTGTCCTTGATGAGGGTCCTTTCTGCTCACTAGGGCAGATGTTGGGCTTCAGAAAGAGTCAGTGCTGGTGATGCTGGCCAAGGACTGTAGGCAGCTCACACCTCCACTCAGATCTGCCCTCCAGTCCTCTCCGGTCCTTGGAGACCTGGGGAGTTGATGTGTGACTGTGGCTCCCTGTCCCCAGGATTATACCAGCCTTTTCCCTGTGGAAGACATGCAGCCGTCAAAGCTTATGCGCCTCCTGAGCTCCAACGAAGATGACGCCAACATTCTGTCGAGTCCCAGTGAGTACCTGGGAGGCCACGGGCTTGCCTTGGACTCCCTCCTCCCTAGGGGCCTGCCTCAGTCCCCAGCTGGTGGCAGTCTAGCTGGCAGGCATGTAGCGGGAGCTCGCCCCTCTCTGACCCCAGTGGGTGCCCTGCTGCCTGCTGGTGGGGACAGGGCTGCCACTCTCCCTAGGACAGGAAGCTCCTCCCCGCCACCCCCCACCACACATCGGGCCATCACTTGAAGGGTAGCAAGACACCCACTGAGTTCACTGTCTTGGCACAGCCTGTACCGTTGACTCACCCATTCTGCCTTCTTTCCTAACCCAGAGACATGCCCTGTGGCTGAGGACAGGCCCCGCCAGGCTTTGACCTGGGGCTGCCCTCCCACCTACCCACAGGCATCCCGTGTCACCCTCTCCTTGCTACCAGACTTCCTTCTGCCAAAAACTCTTGTGTGCCATCTAGTCTTTCTTGTTTCCAGAGATTCCTCCTGAACCTAGAGCTTTCTGTGGCGCGTTGTAGAGACTAGGGGACCAGCCACGTGCTTGTGCAAATGAAAGAAGGAAAGATAGTGGGTTGACCACCTATGACCTAATGACCTTAGCCAGGCCCTTAGCCTGTGTGCATCTGCAAAACGGGCTTGGCGTGGGCTGCCAGCCTTAGTTACATGAGTGCCAGGACTGGCCTCATGGTGCCCAGAAGGGCTAGTTCCCCTCATCTGCTCTCCAGATGCAGGCTCCTCTGTGTCCTGCGTGAATGTACCAGCCTCCCTGATGGCAGGGGCCAGGTCAGGCTCCCACTGAGTGAGAGCTGATGCGTCGCCCTCTCTGCCACTCCACAGCTGACCGCTCCATGAACAACTCCCTCTCGGCTTCCCAGCTCCACACGGTCAACATGAGGGACCCCCTGAACCGAGTCCTGGGTGAGTCCTCCAGCTGCACGTGCTGCAGACCGAGCTGGGTGGAGCCCCTCTGCAGAGGCAGGGCCATGTCCAGTGGAGGGGTTCCCGGCCCCTGACGTCCTCCCTGCTCCCTCACTACTGCCCGCCTGGCTGTGCTATGCAGCGGTCCTTACTCCGCTCATCCGCCCGTGCCCGCTGTCCCTGCCCTTCCTGTGTGAGCTCTCACTGCTTCTGGCGTTCCCTCCTCGGCCCCCTTCTTCCTTGTCTGACCTGTTCTGGAACTCTGCTCTCTTGTTCCCCCTCTGCACAGCCAACCTGTTCCTGCTCATTTCCTCCATCCTGGGTTCACGGACCGCTGGCCCCCACACCCAGTTTGTGCAGTGGTTCATGGAGGAGTGTGTGGACTGCCTGGAGCAGGACAGCAGGGGCAGCATTCTGCAGTTCATGCCCTTCACTACCGTGAGTGCCCCAGCCTGGGATAGAGCTGACCCCCAGACAAGGGAGGGGGTCTTCCACCTGGGATGTCACACCTAGGAGCTACCTGTGTCCCTGTCTGTATCTGACAGGTATCCGAACTGGTAAAGGTGTCTGCCATGTCTAGCCCCAAAGTCGTTCTGGCCATCACTGACCTGAGCCTGCCCCTAGGTCGGCAGGTGGCTGCCAAAGCCATCGCTGCACTCTGAGGAGCTTGGAGTGGCTGGAGGGGGACCCAGCTGGGAACAGTGAGGGTGAGCCATGCTTCCTTACATCCGGTGGTACACGGTCGCTTCCGCAGTCTGTGGCCTTCCCCGCCCCTGCCCTGACTTAGCATGGCCCTGCACATCTCCCAGTTACTTTTGTAATTTTCTGTCCTTTGAACTAGTACTCAAAGACCGTGAGTAATCCCCATGGTCACCCCAGTTCCAGCAGTGGCTGTACACCAAGGAGGGACATGATAGGGCCACAGCGTGTATATAAGTTTATTTTATAATCCATGAGGGAGAGTCCCCCTTGGTTTGTTTGTAAATAAAGATCCTTGTAGCTATTAAGTGCTCTTGGTGGTTATGTTTTCTGTTTGTTTGGTTTTGGTTTGTTTTTCTTCCAGGTGTTGATGGCTGCTGTGTTGCTTGGGTGGGGACAGTGTCTTTCCCCCCAGTCTCATGCGCTATGGCCAGGGAGGGGCATAGTCTGTCGTGGGGAGGAAGAGGAGGTATGAAAGGCCTGAGGCAGGCTGAGGAGTCGGTAGCACCCCCACTGAGAGCGGGAAGTTCTGGGGAGAGGCCCTGCACTGTGCTGGGCATCCAGGATGTCCTTGCTCTTCAGTCACCCTCCACACTCTGACCCAGAGTCCGCGGTGTCTTCCCTCCAGGAAATTGTTGGAGGGGTGAGGGTGAGGGAGGACTGTCTGTCCTCCATACTCTGCAAGTCCAGGGGCATGGACCTGAGAGACTGTGGGGTGGGAAATGAATCACAGGGGGACTCTCCCTCATGGATTTTTGAAGAGCTGATGGTCTGGAGGGCTGTGGAGGAAGGTGACTAGGCTGGCCTGTTGGGCCGCTTTGAACCACAAGCGAGCCTGCAGCTGAACCATGCCTCCCATCTACTCCCCGTGGCCACATCCGCACCCTCCTGGGCTTCTTCGGCTCAGGAGTGAGCCAAACAGGGAAGTGAGTGAAGATCATGGGGAGCTAGAGCTCGGAGATAGTGCTGGGAAAGCCAGGCAACCCAGAGCCTGAGTTCTGATCCAGGGATCACCTTGAACTCAGCTTTCTGCCTGTCAAAGTCATGGTGTCCTTCTGCCGGGTGGGCAGCCTTGTGGAAGGGCGTGCATCGGTGGTAAAGGGACCAGTCCTGTGCACATATCCAGTTTGCCCTGGCTGCAGCTCAGCCTGCCCCAGCCCCATGCCTCCTCTCTCCCACTGACTCATGGTCCATTTTCGTTTTCTTTTCCCTGAGAAGCTAGCTTTGAGGCAGAGACAGTGTGGCCATTTTGTCACAGAGCTCAGGGCTGTACAGAGTGGCACCTGGAAGACCAGTCAGGTGAGCCAGAACGTCCTTCTCCAGCACCATTTTCCCTCCCTCTGGCCTCCCTTGCCACTCAGCAGCCCCTGGCCAGGCATCAGCCAAGCCCAAGAAGGAAGAAAGAAAGACATTTATTGGATACAAACACTTTATTACCCTTAAGTTGGTTAACAGTGAGCAAGTGGGGTAGACAGGTCGGCCTCCCCCAATGCCATACCCTCCCCACAGGACTCCTACCCTTTCCCTCCTACACGCCCAGTTCCAGGCCAGTAAGGCCCTAAAAAATAACTCAATACATTCCAGGGCCAGACCTGGCTGCCACTGTTTCTCTAGGGACTTCATTCCTGCACGGACAGAAAACCTGCTGCCTGATTGTCCAGGGATGCAAGAACCCAGTGTTTGGGAACACTGCTGTTTAAATATTAAACAGGGTTGTCTTGTCCCCCCAAAGGGAGACCTCCTTAAGCTGCCCGGGCCCCCTGAGCTAGGTGCCTCGGAGAGGCTGGACTCACTGTGGCTCTTTTGGGTACCACCACAGAACTGGGTGCCTGGAGCAACATCAGAGATCAATACTTGGTATTTACCCAGCTCCCTCCTGCCCTCCACGGGAGGACGAGAGAGCTTTCTCTCACTGCTCACGAGGCAGGAGAACCAAACTCAGAAGTGGAGAGAAGGACCGAGAAGCCTGGAGCTCCAGTCTCTCTTCTCTGTCTTTAAATATAGGCTTAAATAAGCATAAATATTAAATAGATAAATAAACTGGCTGTTGAAAGGGCTTTGCTCAGGGCGAGGTCAAGTGCTGCAGAGCAGAGTGAGCCACCTCCAGGAAGCTCTGCAGGTACCAAGTGGTCAGGACGCCTCCCGCCCGTCGCTGGAAGGCAGACGTGAAGGTTGGCCTGGTGCTCTGGGTGGGCTGCGCAGCAGGGGCCACCCCCAGGCTTTCCATCTGTGGGGAGGAGACCAAGTCAGGGAGCAGTCCTGACTGCAGGTGAGGGGGCGCCGGGGAGCTGGCCTGTGGGGCCCACTGAGAACAGTAACAGCAGAACCAAGACACCAGCCTGGCCTGCTTCTAGCCCGGTGATCTGGTGCCTCCTTCCCGCCTGAAGGAGGCAGGGTGAGCTGGGGGATCGTCCTCCCAAACACAGGCCTCTGAGAAGATAGTCTTTGAGGGGCCAATGACCCGACCCTCTCCTGACTCCTGCCCTTCCAGATGATCCTTACCTGCTGCCAGATGGTGGTGGCAAAGTTGGCAGCATCTAGCTGCAGCATGTCCAAGGTGGGGGCCAGCTCAGGGGAAATGCCTGCCAGGGCCTGCAAGAGGCCTTGGTGGAGGAAGAGTCCTTTGTGAAGTTGGCTCAGGCACTTTGTCTGGGGATAACAGGAAGGTTGGCAGTATGCAATGGGAAAGCCCCTCTCTTGAGGAGCACCAATACTAGGATATAGGCCCTTCTCTTCTTCGTCCCCTCCCTCTGGTCCCCCTTCTCCAAATACTCACCAGCTGCAAGGCCTGGCTGGAGCAGCCACTCAGGGGAGCCTGCACGATACCCAGAGAGTGGCCGAGCAGCACCAGTTCCTCGGGGTGGCACAGCTTGTAGGTGGCACACTGGAGATGGAAGGATACTGAGGGACGGGCACTCGCCTAGGCCAGGCTATTTCTCCAGCCCAAGTCTCTCTCTCTCGCTGTCCATCTGGCTCCTCAGCTCCCTAAGCCCCAACCAGAGGTCCCACTGCTGTCTCTTCTCTTTCTTCCCTGTCCCCCTCGGGCCCCATGTTCCCTTCCTCAGTGTTTCCTTGATATCCTGAGGGTGCAGTCTGGCCCTTGTGCCCACTAGGCAAACACCATCACTGCTGTGTATCCCTAGCCTACTTCCTTCCTTTGCTCTTGACTCCCCCCCCCCCCTCCCTGAAGCCCTTTTACCCATTGCAGCCTCACTCACCAGCTGCTCCAGCAGCACCAAGTTCCTGGCCTGAATCTTCCTCACTTGCTCCAAGGACTTCAGCAGGAAGGTCCGGGGCAAAGGCGGGGATGATGGCAGAGGGCTGACGGAGACCAGGGGAATGGCCTCCTGTCCCGACCACAGTGTGCTGTGCCAAAGCAGCAGCTGTAGGGCTGAGAGTGGACAGACGGGTCTGAGACAATTGCCACTCCAGCCTCCCTCCTTTCCACACCCAGGGCAGGTAGGTAATCGGGGCACTCACCCATCAGCTTTGTGCGGCTTTGGGCAGAAAGTTGAGCCATGGGTTCTGGGTGATCTGGGCTGTAGCTCTGGGCTCTGCCAGGGCCCAGCTCCAGGGGGCCTTTATACATAAAGCCATCAAGGCCCGGGAGGAAATTACCTGGGGCTGGGGCAACTCAGGCTTAGTAATAACTTCCCAGGATTTATGCAAATTTGTCTATCGCCCAGGACAATGCAGGGGGTTGGGGAAAGGCTGTTTGCGAAAGTTTTGTGAAATCGGGGAATCTCTGTCCCTTCCTTGACGTCTCGCCCCCCCCCCCCCTCAAACTCTCTTCCTCCCCTTCAGCCACACCCAGGCCTGAGTTGCTCCAGGGTGTTTGATCTGAATAGTCCGAAGCTGGCGGAACCCTAGAGGACAGAGGGAACTCAGTCAGACCCTGGGGAGGTGGCAGGCCCAAGGTCATGGTTGCTCCTGTCTCTCTGGCGAACAGGCTTGGGTAGCCCCACTCTGCCCCTTCTTCTGTGATTCTCAAGCCACCCATACCTGGAGCAAAGGAGAGAGAAGGAAGAACCTGTCCTCCTCCTCTCATACCCCTGAGCTCCCAGGCAGCTGCCCCCTGCAGTGCCAGGAGCCCCGATGGCACCCTAGGGTCTTGCTGTCTGTGCCCATCCCACATTTGGATAAAAACCAAATGGTCCAGCGTTCAGGCCGTCCTGTCCCAGGCTGATTAGCTGGGAACTCCCCAATACCCCCTGACTATGACTCATTTCTTTAAGCCCCTGGATCCCGGCAGAGAGACCAGAGGAAACCGGATGTCTGTCCTGAATGAATCAAGACCCTCTGGGGCTCTTTGCTCACCTGACCTTGCCTTTTGGCTTCCCTGCATAACTCTCCTGGCATGTTACCCTACCATAGCCGAGGCTGGGGCATCTGATGTGAGGGGCTGGGACACTCGGTGTCGTGATGGTCTCTGCTCCGTAGAAGCAAGCAGTAGTGTGAGCTGGCTTGAGTGGATGCAGGCTGGGGAGAGAAAGAAGTCTCTCCTAGAATTCTGCCCGGTGTTAGCTCTGGAAGAGACCTCTGCTCTTTCAACCCTGTGAACTGTGCCAGAGAGGGAAATGCCTTGCCCAGTCATAGGTGGTAGAGTTGGAGGGCTACCCCAGCCTCTGTCTCAATCCCGACAGGGTTTGACTGGCTAAAGAGGAGGGGTTCCCTTGCCTGATTGCATCTCACTCACTTTTTGAACTATTGCACCCCCATCTTTTGGACCAAGGAACAGAGTCATCTTTTGATGCATAGCTGACTGGGCTGGGCCATCTCTGGGGCTAGGTTGCCCTCTGGTGGCCATGGATACCCATGACAAGGCAAAATGATAACATGCCATGTCCTAGATAACTCTTTTTGCTTGGGAGGGCAGGGCAGGAGATTCCTTTTTTTGTTTTGTTTTGTTATGTTTTGTTTTTCAAGACTGAGTTTCTCTGTATAGCCCTGGCTATCCTAGAACTCGCTCTGTAGACCAGGCTGTCTTTGAACAGAGATCCACCTGCCTCTGCCTCCTAAGCACCGGGATCAAAGGTGTGCGCCACATTTGCCTGTGAGATTTCATTCTTAAACCTGTTGACTGGCAACAGCTGCCACCCTCATGTATCAGATCGGTGGTTCTCAACCTGTGGGTCTTGACCCCCAGGCGTTCACATTACAATTCATGACAGTAGCAACATTACCCTCATGAAGTAGCAGCTAAAATAATTTTAGGGTTGGCGGGTCACCACAACATGAAGAACTGTATTAAAGGGCCACGGCTTTAGGAAGGTTGGGAACCACTGGCAGAGGTGATGGTGGGATGATCAGGATCGTTATGCTACCATCCTGTTGTCCTGGCAACCAGTAGGTAGGCTGCAGATGAGGGGCGGCCTTGATACAGCGGAAGACCTGGCCCCGGGTCTCAGGACTAGTTGGTAGGTGGCTGGTCTTTCTAAGCCCGTCTTGTTTTGTTGCACTTTCTGGAGAGAGTACAGCTTGGGCAGCGGAGAATGGAGACCAGAGAGCAGGATTTGGAATGTAGCTTACTGATGTAGTACTCTGCCTAGCACACACAGAACACTGGGCTGCATCTCTAACTCTAAAACAGGCATGGCGGCTCACACCCGTCATCCCAGCGCTTGGGCAGTAAAGGCAGGAGGGTCAGAACCAGACTTGGTTTGGGAGGGCCCTAAGGCGCCCAAAATAGTATAAGCAATTGCCACTGCTGCTAGCTGCCAACCAGAACTCCTCGGTAAGACGCTGGTGCCCAAGACACCATAGGCTCCAGCCACAGGACACAGAGAAATCATGCTGGAACTGATCCCAGAGTTTCACCCCTCCTGGCTAGACCTCAGGGTGTGCAGGCTGCCGAGAGAACTGTCATCCACTGCCTAACTCAGCCATGGCGTCTGCATGTTACTTTGGCCAGGCAAAATGCGGACCCAGGGTCTCTGGCATGCAATAGTGGTAGGTCTATACAGGTAACCAATGGCTTCCTGCTTGAACTTGATGCCTGCTCCACAGGAGGGGATTCGCTCTAGGGCTGAAATCACGGTCAGTGTCTATGGCTGGGAAGTCATGGGCCTATGGCAGGGAGGCTCCTGCTCTTGTTCTGATAAACAGACATGGTGTGCTGGTCCAGTTGCCATCTGAATACTCATGTGTATCATTGTCATATTGTCAGCTTTGGTTGGAGGAGCTTCTTTTGTAGTGGGCATGGGTAATTTCTCGTAACTGGTCAAAGTGCTGAGAATAAGTGACAGCTGGATCCAAGGGCCTTGTGGAAAAGAGCAGAAAGAATACAGAACTGGAGGGAGCGCTGTGTTATAGGACATCTTCCTGGAAATGGCATGACCATGGCCATTGCACTTGAGCTCAAAGCCAAGTTGGTTACCTCGTGAGACTTGGCTTGCCAACATCCTATTAGAGAAGAGGACCTCCTAGCCCCAACAGGGGATTTATAAACCTTATGGTAACTTGGACAGGATAAATTTTTTTTCAGTAGCCATGGCAAGGTGCCCACTCGTGGCTGTAGCAACTCCTCCTCCACGTTACTGTAAGAACCCTAAGGAGCCAGGCAGTGGCAGCACACGCCTTTAATTCTAGCACTCAAGAGGCAGAGGCAGGTGGATCTCGGAGTTTGAGGTCTACAGAGGGAGTTAGTTCCAGAACAGCTGGGGCTACACAGAGAAACCCTGCCTTGGAAAACTGGGGAGGGGGCCGGGAAGGAAACCTAAGGAGGTTCACTGATCGCCAAAACAAACAAAAGAGACGTTCAAGGTCATCCTCAGCTATGTGGCAAGTTGGAAGCTAGTCTGGGTTCTGTGATGTGGGGGGAAAAAAGATCAAAGAGCAATGGCTCTTTCCCCTGGATAATTCACACAGGGGCTGAGCAGAACTAAAGTGAGGGCAGGCACTCAGAGGCTGAGCGGGGCAGTGTGCTTTCCCCAACAAACTTTAATCTGTGCAAATGCCATGCCAGACGTTAGGAGCAAGAAAGCCCAGCCTACAAACTGGCTGGCAAGACAAGGCTCTCCCACCACCCATTCTCTCAGAAAAACCTAAGTGGCCCTGTGCAGGGACATAGATCTATGTCAGTGGGGCAGACAAGTGGGTAAGGTGGAAAGCGATGCTGGAGAGCAAGAGGCAAGAATGCCAGGTGTCTCGGGGACTAGAGAGCTCGGCTGGGGCAAAGGGCATGTGCAGTGATCCAGGGGCACAGGCCTAACTGGCCCTGTGGGGGGCCTCTGCCACCAGTGCTGGGACGCTTGACAAGGGTACCTGTGTATCCCCAGCCATGTGCCGCTGGGTGTGGCCGGGGCGCCCCTCCTGACCCCCAATTCTTTGTTTTCAGTGAGCAGCCCATCTCCCACTCCCCAGGGCTGATGGGCAAAGTGCTGTTCCCACCCTGCCAGGCTTCAGTGTCCCCTGCACTCATTGAGCTCGGTGGCTCACTCACTCTTGACTTTTCTGAGGCAGAGTCTCATGGAGCCTGGTTTGCTGGGGAACAGGTACGCGCCACCAGGCCTGGTTTGTGCAGTGCTGGGAATCAAACCCATACTTCTGTGCATGCTACACACTCTACCACCAATGTCCCTTTCTGTTTGTCCCTTTGAGCCTCTTGGAAGCTTAGGCTCCTGATTTGAAGAGCAGGAGGCCAGAGTGTAGTCCTTTACATGACAGGTGTGGAGGAGCTTAGGACACTCATCAATGTGCCCAACACATGACAACCCCAAACCAGGGCCCTTGACCTCAGGTCAGCTCACCTTGGCTCCCTTCTCTGCAGGTACGCTGGACCCTGATGACACTTGCAGCTGAGACACCAAGAAAAAGAAAGCCACCTGGGCTTTTCACCTCCGCAGCCGGGAGAGCAGCACAGGAACTGACAGTGTACACGGAGCTTTGGAGAACTTTTTATTGTTTAAAAATCATAATTGAAGCTTCAAAAACATACAACCCAACATGTCCCAACTCCAGGCCTAGTCCACACCCTAATCCACGGTCCTGTCCGCCCCTCCTGCTGCCTACACCACCATTAGGCAGGACCCTGCTTCCAGGAGGCTGCCGCCGTTCTCCTGCCCACAGTGTGCTGTCACCAGCCACAGAGAGGCATGGTAGCAAGAGGGGGATGGTTGGCTCCCAGCATCCCTGACTCCTGCACATATGCAGTCTGTGAGCTGTGTGGGAAAAGGAGGCCAGTTTCCTGGGCAGGGGACCCCTGAGGGAAAAGACAAAGAGCCAGTCTCCACTCAGCCCACCCCTCCCCAGGCCCTGGCTCAAGGGAAGCTGTCGTCGTCATCCTCCGCCATCTCCTTGGCAAACTCCAAGTCCTGCTGCTCCCGCTCCCGCCGTTCCTGCGGGGAGAAGACTTGATGGCTTCACCTAAGGTAGGGCGGCCCTGCCCGCTAGGTCCTTCCCTGCTTCTCTTCTGAAAACATCCACCCTTCACTCTCGCTCACCTCTGCGGACTCCAGGTCCTTGTTGTAGGATTTGGGAGGAAAGCGCATGGCCTGAAAAGCAAGTGAAGAAAGAAGAACAGGAATCACTGGCATGCCCCTTGATGG